GGTGGGTAAACACACGGCATGGCTGCTCCGATCCCTGTCACATGGGCATGTCCTCCTGCCCGGCCCTGGGCTGCTCTCCCCAGTGCCACAGTGAGGCTCTGCAGCTCTGATGGGGAGTGCTGGGCTGTGTCCCCCCCAAGGGTGGCCCAGGGGATCCCCATCGGGCAACAGTGGGAGCAGGGCAGGGTCACTCTGGAGATGGTGGGAGCAGGGCAGAGTTATTCCAGACAGGATTTACCCCAGCATCCTCACGGAGAGAAGAGCTGGGAGCTGGTGGTGTGCACCCCAGACCCCCACCCAGGGGGATTTCACTCCCCTCATCCCCTGGAGGGAGGAAGCCAAGGGTGGGCTCGGCTGCCAGCCCAGGCTGTGCCCCAAGGGCAGCTCAGCCGGGTGCCTCCCTGCTCATTTCCTCCAGGGGCCGATGGCAGTGATACTGCCCCCTGCTCATTTCCTCCAGGGGCCGATGGCAGCGATACTGCCCCGTATCACCCATATTTCATTTTCTCCAGGGTATTTTTAGCCCGTTCCACCCTCGCTGGAGAGGCCCTTGGCAGAGAGCAGGCTCTGCCCTGGCCTGGCCTCGGCCAGAGAAACTAAACAACAGCCCCAGCCACATTGTGTGCCTTTATCTGCAGCTCATTTCCACCTATTATGCAGCCACAAGCGGCTCCACGGCCTCTGCTGGGTTCATCTGCAGCAGAGAGAGAGAGGCTGAGCTCTGCTTGGGGCCACCATGGGCCTGTGACATGACAGCCCTGTCAGAAGCCTGAGCTGAGGCTGGGCTCAAGGGGACAGGACACTACAGCAGGAACAGTTGTGATTTCAGTGGGTGAGTGGCCCACACTCCCCCCCAGTCCCATCACTCTCAGGACAGCATTCTTCCTCCCTCCCTCAGCCCCAAACCCTCACCTGCCCTCCCAGAATCAGCTGGAGGCTACAGGAAGCACAGTCACACCACACTTCACCTTTTCTCATTCATCCAACTTTATTCAACAAGATGCAGCACTGAGTCTGCCAGGGGGAAGGGAAACAGCACTGAGGGCAGTGCCCACATCCTGCACTCGTGCCTGGGTCACACAGGACCTTCAGCCCTTTGGTCACTGCATTGGTGGGCTGGGGAAGTTGGGGGACAGGTCCCATGGCAGCAGTTGGTTCAGCAGGGGTTCCATCCTGCCCCAGCACCTCAGCCCACAGCAGGAGATGACTAGTGCAAAGTAATAAAACCCAATGACCGTCCAAACCAGAAGCTGCTGGTCTGATTCCCCCCCAAAACCCCCAGGGCTCCAAGGCACATGGACACGGCTCCCCAGATCCCCTGCAAACTGCGCCTTTAAGGCAGAAAGCTCCGTGCTCAGGCCCACGGGTTAAAAATAACTTAAAGGCACACATCCCATGGGAAAGGATCCAGGGCCGGGAGGGCAGGGGGAACTCACACTCCTGGGTCACCCGTGGTGACCCTGCAGCCACTGGGATCTGCCGGTCACCACAGAGCTGCCACTGGATTAACCCGCCTGTCCCATGGGGAGGGGGCAGCTCCGGCAGCAAACCTTGGACAGATGCCAGGGTCACTGGAATGGGACGGGGCTGGTGGCCAGGATCTGTCAGCACTGCTCCAGCCCAGCTTCCCGTGTCTGTCCCAGGCTCAGCCTGCCCCGTGCGGAGGCTGGAGGGGAGCAGCTTCCCACGGCCATGCTCCCGGCTCTCATCCCGGCAGAGGCTCTGGGGTCCGGCCGAGCCGCGGCTCCCGATGGCCAGGAGCCTCCTGCTACAGCCCCAGGGACAGCCTGTTCCACGGGGCAGCTCCAGGGATTTCTCCCTTTCCCAGAGCGAGGCACACGGGACATGGCGTCCCGGGGAACTCTCTGCAGTTTCCTTCCTTGCGGGGTCATTGGGGAAAACAGAAGGGAGCAGAGGCTGCGCTCAGCCCCGCTCCCGAGCATCCCGTCTCCGGAGGGGAGCGTGTCCGTAAGGCACAGCACCAGGCAGGAGGCAGCTGCCTGCCCACAGGCAGCACCTTTGCAGGCAGGTGGGACCGGGGAAGGTCCCCCTGCCAGCCGGGGCCAGCCCGGCACTACACATACTGCTTTTTGGAGGCCGAGCTGCCGGGCCGGCTGCACGGCTTCTCCTCCGGGGCAGAGGCTTCAGCGGCCCGGGGGGCGTAGGGGTCCGACAGGGGCCTGCTGCCGCTGCCCAGCGCCAGGTTCTCCTCGTTGTGGAAGTTGGCCCAGTTCTGCTCGCTGGAGAGCTTGTTGTAGGTCTGGTAGGATGGCACGTGGCTCTCGGCCATGGGCAGGAACGGGTAGTGCTTGTGTGCGTAGGGATCCGGCACCATGTCGTCAGCAAAGACATCCCGGCTCGGCACGACCGGCCCCGACACCTTCTTGATGTTGCTGAGCAGGTTCTTGCAGCAGAGGTGGAAGAGCTCCATGAGGTTCAGGATTAAGGAGATCAGGCCCATCACCAGCATGAAGATGATGAAGATGCTCTTCTCGGTGGGGCGGGAGATGAAGCAATCCACCTGGTGGGGGCAGGGGTCCCTCTTGCACACGTAGCGGGGCACCATGGAGAAGCCGTACAGGTACCACTGGCCGACGAGGAAACCAGCCTCAAAGATGCTCTTGCAGATCACACTGATGATGTAAGTCCACATCAGTGCCCCTCGGATCTTGAGCCGCCCGTCCTCTGTCACGTAGATCTTGGACATCTTCTTCTCCACGGCTGCCAGGGCCTGCTCGATCTTCGGGTCCTTGCTGTGGATAGCCCGAAGCTCACTCTGCTGCTGCTTCAGCTTCTCCTCCCTCCGGGAGAGATAGACAACGTGGCCCAGGTAAATCAGGGTTGGGGTGCTGACGAAGAGGAACTGGAGCACCCAGTAGCGGATGTGGGAGATGGGGAAGGCTTTGTCGTAGCAGACGTTGGTGCAGCCCGGCTGCTTGGTGTTACACACGAAATCCGACTGCTCGTCCCCCCACACAGACTCCCCGGCCAGGCCCAGGATGAGGATGCGGAAGATGAAGAGCACGGTGAGCCAGATCTTCCCGATCACGGTCGAGTGCTCCTGGACTTGGTCCAGCAGTTTCTCCAGGAATTCCCAGTCACCCATCTTCTAGGGAGCCTGTGCCTCTGCCAGCAGAGAGGGAAGAGCAGACACATCAATTCCCTGTTTCCATGGGGAGGAGCACAGGGCAGGTAGGGCCACCTAAGCCCCGTGACTTTTTGGGATACAGCTGCTCTGCAGAGTGTCCCAGTAAACCCACTGGGGGACATGCCACATCTGAGGGAAGGTACCCAGGCTTTGTGAGACCTGGAGGGCTCCTTCTACTTACCCTTGCCCAGTGCAGGAACATGGGGCAGGGGGAGAAGAGGCAGCACAGGGATTCACCTCCCCCAGCAGCACCCAGCCCACAGCACCCACAGCTCATGGCTGTGGGATGATGGACCCCCAGCACCCTCCCCTCGCCCAGGGGACCCCTAGCACCCCTCACCGAACTGCTGCTGCTGCTGCAGGGACCCCTTGGAGCCCAGCTCACATCCCGTAGGCACTCAGCCCTGCAGCCCGGCTGGGAAGGAGCAAGAGTGCGGCTGCAGCCCCGGCTCCTTATTAACCGCTGCTAATTAAGCACAGAAGTGCCGGCTGCGCCGTTAAAGGCACCCTGGCAGCTGCGGGGCGAGGGGGTACCCGCGGTGGGGTGCCCCGTTCCCCAGCACGGTGTCCCCGAGCGGTGCCGGTGTCCCGGGAGTCCCGGCGGTCCCCACTCACCTCCGCAGAGCCGGGAACGTCCCGCCGGGCTCGGGCCGCGCTGAGTGTGAGGGGTCGGGCCGGGATCTGCGGTGACTCCGGTCGTGCGGGGCCCGGGGGAGCCGGGGGAGGAGCGCGGCAGGAAACCGGGGGGCCGGGGCTTAGTGCCGGGCCGGGCCGCAGGTGTGCGGGGCCGCCCCCTCCCAACGCCCCCCGATGAGGGGGCGGCCCCGGCGGGCGGGGCGGGGGCAGCCGGGACCCCCAGGGACGGCCGGGACCTGTCAGGGCCGAAGCCGATGGGGGACAGTGGGAAGTTCGGCTATTCCCGCCCACTCGTTCCCGGCTGCGGCTCCGCCACCGGGAGAACCCGCTGAGCGGGGCAGGGACCCCGGGGATGCTCCGTCCGCTGCCCGACAGCGTGTCCCGGGAATGTCCCGTCCCCCGCCCCGTGTCCTGGGGATGTTCCTTCCCCTGCCCGGCGGGGTGTCCCCGGGATGCTCCGTTCCCCGCCCAGTGTCCGGGGTTGTTCGGTGCCTGCCCGCCCCGGCCCGCTCGTGGGTTGTCCCCGCGGGTCCGTACGGCGCGGCGAGCGCTGGGTGGTGCTGGAGCCCCACCGGAGCGCGGCCCCGGCCCCGCATCCCGCCTGTTCCCGGGCTGAGCCCCACCGGAGCCCTGCCCGGGACCTGCCCGCGAGTTCAGACGGAGCTTTGCTGGCGGGGGTCTCGGCACACACCACAACAGTCCCGTGGGGCTGCGGAGTGCGGGCGGGCCGAGCGCAGCTGGGAACGGCGGACCCTCCGCTAGCGCTGCTTAGGGAGAGATTAAACGGAAATAATTTCTATTTATTATAATATTTATCAAGGTTTAGTAAATAATTGATGTTGATCCTTCCTTGATTTCCTTGGGGGCCAGCGTGCGGTTCTGCTGAATTAAGGTTTAACGACCCGTGACGAGCCGGGAGAGGCGGAGAGGGCGGAGTGAGCCCGACCCCGGGGCTCGACCGCCCTGCCCGGCCCCGGCGGATGAGGAGCACCCGGCTGCGGGCTCCGGGGGAACCTCTGCAAATCCATGTCATCTGCCCTCACCAGTCCCCCCGATTTCCAGCGTGCAGAGCAGATCCCGGTGTCTCCAAGCAGTGTTTGATTAGCCTTTTGGATCCGTAGCTTGTGCCATATGTGATGTGTCCGAGATGAGTGGACAGCAGCATTTGGCATTTGGCAAAGACATGGCACGGCACTCGTGTGAGCCAAGGGGGAGAAGCTGTTGGGTTTAGTCACTTTTCACACAGGTTGACTCTTGAGGGTTCAGGGGTGGCTGGAAAAGCTGCTAGGCCAAGGGGAATGTGAACCAGCTGGGACGGGTGAGCTCACAGCTCCTCTCCTCTGTGGGAAGAATAGACACCCTCAGGCATGCCCACAGGCAGCCAGCACCCACCTGCCACCACACCACTGGGACACCCAGGGATGTGCCCAGGGTCCCAGGCAGGAGAGTTCCCATGGATGTGCCCCCTCCCCTTACAGCCATCGAATTCCTGGCTGAGGAGTCCGGTGGTGACATCACTGGTGGTCACGTCTGGTGCCAACCATCCCTGGCACATGCCAGGACCCTTCTCCCTCCACCCTCCCCTCCCAGCGCCCTTCAGACAGCAGTCAGGGCTGTCACACACCTAGTCTGGGACTTGTTGTCCTTCTCCTCCGACTTGAGGTGGCAGTGGCAGGTGGAGGCCTTGCTGTAGCTGACGGAGCGCTTGGTGGATTTCTTCCACTTCCGTGCACTCCGGACAACTCGCTTGAAGATGAGGTAGAAGATCTCACAGACGGTGAGGATGATGCAGATGGAGGAGGCTCCAACCATGAAATAGCTGAAGACCCTTTTCTCGGTTGGCCGAGCGATGTAGCAGTCCACGGTGTTGGGGCAGGGATCCAGGTTGGTGCACTTGACCAGCCGTGGCAAGTCGAAGCTGTCCCACATCTTGTGGAGGAGGTAGAGGAACAGGATCTCTATGATAAGCTTGAAGAAGAGGCTGAGCAGGTAGGTCCACCACAGCCCGCCGTGCTTCTTGCCCGTGTTGCTGTAGAGCTTGGGGCAGTTCTCCCCGTTCTTCTCCCGGTTCTTCTTCTCGCGGTCCTCGCGGTAGGCCACGTGCATGATGACCAGGAGGGAAGGACAAGTGACGAAGATGAGCTGCAGGGCCCAGAGGCGGATGTGGGAAATGGGGAAGAAGTAGTCATAGCAGACGTTGGTGCAGCCTGGTTGTCGCGTGTTGCAGTCAAAGTCCTTCTGCTCGTCCCCCCACACGCGCTCTGCCGCCACCACGTAGACCAGGACGCGGAAGACGAAGACCACGGAGAGCCAGATGCGGCCAAAGGCTGTGGAGTACTTGTTGACCCCGCTGAGCAGTGCCTGCAGTGTTTTCCAATCCATGGTGGCCGGCAGAGACTGAAGTCACCCGACCTGGAGGGGCAGCAGGAGCGGGGGGTGAGGAGCAATGGGAGGTGCGTGTTCCTCGCTGCACCAAATCCCCCACCACGCTGCACTCATGTGGGGAGGGGGGACCATCACCCTTGCAGACAGTAAAACCCATCCCCCCGCTCTCCTGGTGACAGAGGTGACTCAGCCTCTCAGCACTTCCTTCTGCCCCAAGGGATGAGACACCCGGCCAAGTCCCCACCACCAACCCCCCGCCTGACTGCTGAGTTGGTGCGAACTGGCAGCAGGATCTGCTGGAATGAGCCAGGATCAACAGCTGAAGGGGAAGTGGCTGCTGCAGCGCTGGGCTGTCAGGACATGCCAGGGACCGGTTTTTCTGTCTCACAGGTGATGCCTGAGGCAGCCCAAGCACAGGTGAGAGCAGGGCTGCAGAAAGGGACAGTCTGTGTGTGTCACCAGCACGTCACCAGGGCCGGTGCTCTGCTCCTGCTCCTGCCCCCGGCAGCAACACTGGAGACCCCAATGGCCACCTGGTGCCCTCTGAGACGTACCTGGAGGAGGCTCAGGCGCCTTCCCTGCTCATCGGGGGTAGTGGGATGGGAAGTGCCCAGCACGGGGCATGGCGGGGATGTGATGGCACTCTGGTGATCAGGGTCCCCTCATCCAGGGAGGGCTGACAGTGCAGTGTCCTGGGGCTGCAGGGAAGGAACAGAGCTTGGAGCACTGCCTGGAGCTCCCCAGCTGCCCAGGAGCCCAGCCTTGGCCAGAGTCACCCTGCAGCGAGCTCCAAACCCACCACCCTGCTCCCACACTGCTCCCACACAGGGACACACTGACAACAGCTGAGCCAAGTGGGGCCAAGCTGGGATCCTGTGCCACCAAGTGCCAAGGCAGTGCCTCTCTGCCCACCACCCTGCTGGAAACAGATCGTCCTCCCTGGCAAAGCAGTGAGCCAGGGCGGGGAGCAATCACAGCCTTCCCACCCAGCCCTTGGCTTTAAAATCAGGAGAGGGGAGCTGCTGTTTCCTCCCAAATGCTGGTGCTGATGGCTGGAACCCAGAGTCCCTGCACACCCCCAGGACCTCTGTTCCCCCACCAGCCTGCCAATTCACCCATGCCCCCAGTGCCCTGCCAGCAATCCACCCAGCACCCACCCGCCCAGCACCCACCTGCCCAGCTCAGCCCAGTGCCGGCTCCAGCCATGGACCCGCTGCAGGGTGGGAAGGGGATGTGACCTCCACGCCAATCCCTGTGCTCTGGGAGCCCCACAGCCTCCCCCCCGGTGCTGGCTGGGCGCCAGGCGGAGCAGGGGCAGCGCTCAGGTGTGCTCAGCTCTGCCGGCAGAGCCCGTTTGCCTCGCGCAGAGCTCAGCACCCCCGCCAGCCCCCGGAATGCCAGCCCGCTGCGTCACCGCCGGGGCCTGCCCCGCGTGGGCACAGGGCGTTGGACCCGAAAGCGCCCGGCTCCCACCTCTCTGGGGAGCAACCGCAGCAGAGCCACTGTCTCTGGGGGGCTCAGGCCACGAGGAGGGTGGTGGGACAGAGGAGCAAGGCCTGGCGTGGCTGTTCCTGCTCCTGGGGGTGCCACGCTGTGCCATCCCCCTGTGTCACCCCCCACGGCCTGGGGGGGTCCTGTCGTGGCACTCTTGGGGTCCCCACTTGTGGGCCCTGCAGGTCCAGCAGCCCTGGCCATAACACAACTCCCACTGGCACCCCACACACCATAACACAGCTCCCACTGCACCCCATTATACCAAACACAGCTCCCACTGCACCCCATTACACCAAACACAGCTCCCACCGCGCCCCCTTACACCGTGGGGTCTGTCCCCGACAGCCAGAGGCCCCCAGCAGCCCCCTATCACCCTGTGCCTCCAGAGGTACCTGTCCAGCAGGGAAAGAGCCGCAGGAAGGTGTCCAGATCCAGGCAGCTCTCGGAGTAGGGAAGCTCCTTCCCAGCCACAGCCCTCCTGCACACCCAGGGCTTGTCTGTGGAGCTGAGTGTGTGTGGGGAGGGGAAGGGTGGTTGGTTCAGTTCCCAGTAGCTGGGTGAGTCTGGCAAACAGCTCCTGGAGAGGTTCTTGTCGGTGCACATGCACACACACGCTCGGGTTGAACAACAAAGGAGATCAACCGGGCCGGATTCCTCCACCTGCAACACCAGCAGCTCCTGCCAGGTGATGCCCTGACCCCCACAAGGGTGTTCTGGGCACTGCAGACCCAGAGCAAGACCGGGGCGACAGGGACGGACACCGGGCTCGCACCGTCCCCCAGCCGTGGGGCCACCAGCGCCTGTTGCTAAGAATCCCAGATTACGCAACTGTAACCCACTTCTGAAGCGATTTTTTTGATTAGTAAGAGTTTTGCAACAGTTCACTGGTATCTCCAGCCTACAGGAACTCGAAGCCACCACCCTGGCGGTGCCGGGATGCTCTGATGGGACCTTCCCCAAACAGCAGGATGGCAGCAGGGTCCTCACACAGCGGGACCCTGCCCTGCTGCTGCCTCCAGCTGCTCCCCCATGGGACCTGGAATGTGTCCCCAAGGGGGATGTCCCTCTCCCCGGAGCACTGGTGGCTCCCAGGAGGCTGGGTGCTGCCCCACGGAGCAGCCCCATTTGAGGCCTTTGCCAGCACAGCTTGGCAGGAATGAGGAATGTGCCTCCCCTTGCCTGCGGTTCACCCAGTCTTTAGAGTGCCCTGAGGCTCTTCCGGCATCCTCGGGCACGCCCTGGAGACAGCGGCAAGGGAGCCTCACAGAGCCTGGCCAGGGCCACCCCTCCCCTGGGACACATCTGAAGAGCCCCTGGGTGCTTGCTGCCCCAGAGGTTTGCTCCCCGCTCTCCTGGCAGACAAGGAGCCATTGCCTAGAGTGGTTTTTTGGCTCCAGGAGGTCAAATAAAGCCAGTGAGGGTTTGCCCAGCTAGGCACACACAGGAATGGGGGCCCAGGAGATGAAAAGCCAGGAAATCCAAAGCAAGCCCTGGTGGGAGCCTGGGAGTGCAGAGCGGGGCGAACCCAGAGGAGGGGGCAGACACGGGAATCCCCATCCTGGACAAGAGCGAAGTGGGAGCTCCCTCACCCAGGAACTGCCCTGTCCTATCGGCAGGATCAGGAATTTGAGCTATGTTGTTGCAGAGAGCCGGTGTGGCCGGAGCCTGTCAGGAATCTGGGGGCTGTGGCCCTCGAGATGATAAACCAGGAGAGAGGGAAGTTGTTGAGAACCACTGGCTGCGGCCAAACCCTGTGTGAGCAGGGCCAGATTCCCCCTACTGAGTTCCTTGCCTGCAATTTCGGAATTCTGGGAGAGGCCACGTTGCCATAGTGAGAAAGTTCAGGTGCTTTTGGCCTGGGCAGATTTCCCTAAGGCAGCTGGGCGGGGAGCAGAAACACCCCCGTGTTTTGCAGTGCTGAGCTGGGCATTTGCCAGCAAAGGGCACATCCCTGTGCCCCCTCTGCCATCCCTCTGCCAACTGGCCCAGCGTGGGCACAGGGACAAGGTGCCAGCATGGTTCAGCAGCTCTCAGCACCTGAGAACCTCAGGTATGTGCCCAGGGTACGTCACCAGGTTGCCACCCTGCTCCAATTCAGCGGGGTGATGGGTGAAAGGCCTCAGTGCCAGATGTGAACACTGAAACACCCAGTGACCTCCAGAGGCCCTTAAAGAGTCTCAAATGGGGTTGGACTCAGGCCTTTTATTTCAGCTTCCTGCCTGCCAACAGCATCCCAGCTGTCCTGCTCCAGGGCCACGTCCCCAGGGATGAGACTCCCCCACGAGCCCAGGGCACAGGAGTCACGGGGTCCTGGGAGCCGGCAGCCAGAGCAGCCACTGGCCCCAGCACACTGGACAGAAATCAGAGAGTTTCTCCTCAATTCCCAGCAAAGAGGTGGGGTTTGGCCAGGGAAGAAACAAGCCCAAGCTGGGAAGGCCAGGCTGCCCCTGACCTGCACACACAGTCCTCTCCACATCCCTGCCTGGGCTGGAGTTAGTGGTGGGTTTCTTTTAAATCCCCTCTCCCTGAATTCAGGGGCTCTTCTGGGACCCCACAAGAACATACATGGGATTCCCTGTGTGATGATGCAAAATCTGGGCAACAGTCAGCTTTTATTCTGACACCCCCCAGTTTATTTGCTTTGCTGACACTGGTCCTGCCTCTGCATCCCAGGACGTGTCCCAGCCCCCTCTTTTTGCAGCACCGACTGGGGGGAAACACATCAGAAAGAATCAGCCAAACACACCCGTTTGTCAGGCTGGTGGGGGCTGATCCCAAGCCTGGGTGGTGCAAGACAACCTCAAGCTCTGTGGAGCAGCTGCAGTGCCTGCTCTGAGCACCACAGAGCAGCACAACAACACCCTGCAACTGGATCTGCAACTGGATCTTCAGGTCTCTCGCAACGGGGCAGCAGCTCCAGCTGTGCTTTGATGTGCGGAAGTGGGACAGGGAGGCTCTCCCAGGGCTCATCTCTGCCCCATTAGTGCCTGCACAGGGAACACCTCTGGGTTTCTTTCACTTGTGGCACAGCCCCGAGCAGGAGCGGCCAACCTTGCTCGAAAACAAACAGCCCAGCCCATGCTCTTTAAATCGGGGCAATGGCTCGCACACAAAGAACAACTTTGTGCTCTCTCTGACGTGAGAGGCTTCGGGAAAGAAAACTTTCGGGTGGATAATCCAGCAATGGGAGCGGATGGGAGGAAGGCAGACACCAAGCACAGCTTCACATGAAAGGAGGTGGAAAAAAACCTGCCTGTATTCCATCTGCCTCTCACCCCAAAGGTCTCCAAACTCAGTTGGTGTCAGCACAAGGAGCTGCTGTGTGCCCAGAGGGTTCTGGGCCCATGGCTGGGATCCCCCCCAGGGCTTCTCCACCATCCTCACCCTCATGGCGTGGCTGGTTCAGGCCCTGCCCTCCCATCCAGCAGTGCTGCAGCCCTGCCTGCCCTCAGCATCCCCCTGGCCACAGCAGTCCCTGTGCCTCCCCCTCCAGCACATCCAGCTGGTCCTTTCCCCAGGGTGGGCTGTGGGAAGGGGCTCAGCCTTGCCCAGGTGAGCAGGATTAGGTGCAATGAACTGTCACCAAGAACAGCCATGATCCTAAAGGACACAGGGATGGTGCTCCCTCCCTCCCTGTGCTGCTTCCTTTGGGGCAGAGCCAGCGAGTGCTGTCACTTCTCATGGAAAAAATAATAATCACACCCTCTAAATAAAGCAAAACCAGTAACAGATCGAGCTGCATGTTCAACGTTAATGTTACTTACGAGTGCATTTGCCATGAAATTATTGTGAATTATTCATCCCAGCTAATGCTCAGTGATGGCCTCCAAAAGGACAGCGCCGCTCACGTCACGGCCCAGCACAACATATTACAGCAATAAATGAGATCAGATTCTGCCATTTAATGTTACTGTTTAATCAATGGTTGGGGTGTTTTTCCTCTCCTGTACTCAGCTGTTTTGCTGGGGTGTTTTCCTCTGGCCAGGCAGGATGATCCAGCAGCCCACGGCGGGCGCTGCCTGCCTGGCCGGATCCTCACGCCCGCGCTTCCCTGCGGTGGCTGCGGCACCAGGGACCTGCTTGTGTCCCCACTCTGCTAATAAGCAGCTATTAATGACGATTGCATCAGTCTGAGATGGCCCTGGCACCCACTCTGTGGCTGATTTAGGGTGAGGGATAGGGAGACGGTTCCTCAGGGGATCAGGGTGTCTGTCCTGGCTGGGACATGCTCAAAGTCTGGGCACTGCTGCCAGTTCACAGCTGCCACAGAGCTGCTGGTCCCTGTGGCTCTCGGGCACTGCACGAGTGTCCTACAGCACGTGGTTCACCCCAAATTCAGCAGGATAATGTCACATGTCTTCCCCAGAACAGGAGAAGCAGAGACTCCTCGGGCACAGCCCAACTCCAAGGTGATGCCACCACCAGCGTTCCTGTGCCGGGGGACGGAGGAGGAAGAGGGGGATGAAGGTGCAGGGCAGGCGAGAGGCTCCTGCTTTCTCCCCGGCAGCTCTAGGAAAGCGCCTCCTCCTCAGACACAGTGCTGGGGCAGGACGCCGTGGGTGGGATGGTGGCTGTGGGGGGTTTGTAGTCCGCCCCATGGAAAACCTGCCCCGCCGTGCCCACGGGCTCGGCGCAGGGCAGCGGGCAGTCCTGGCTGTGCCGCCGGCTCTGCTCCCCACCAGCCTGCAGGCACTCTCGGCACCGCTTGCCGATCAGGTAGGCGGCCTCCACGAGGCTCAGCACGACGCAGACGCAGGCGGTGACCACCATGAAGAGGGTGAAGATGTTCTTCTCGGTGGGCCGGGAGATGAAGCAGTCCACCACGTTGGGGCAGGGCGGCAGCTCGCACTTCACCAGCCGGGGCAGGGTGTAGTTCCTGTAGAAGCGGTAGAAGATGTAGAGGAAGACCACGTCCACACCGGCCTTGAAGACGAGGCTGAGCAGGTACGTCCACCACAGCCCGCCCCGCTTCTTGCCGGGGTTGGCGTAGATGCGGCGGCAGCCGCCCCCGCCGGCCTCGCGCAGCCTCTGCGCCTTGGCCTCCCGGTAGGCCACGTGCATGATGACCAGGAGGGACGGGCACGTCACCAGGATGAGCTGCAGGGCCCAGAGGCGGATGTGGGACACGGGGAAGAAGTGGTCGAAGCAGACGTTGGTGCAGCCCGGCTGCAGCGTGTTGCAGTCAAAGTCCTTGTGGTCGTCGCTCCAGACCCGCTCGGCCGCCACCAGGTAGACCAGCAGGCGGAAGATGAAGACGAGGGAGAGCCAGATGCGGCCGAAGGCTGTGGAGTACTTGTTGACCCCGCTGAGGAGCCCCTCGAACGCGCTCCAGTTCATGGCTCCCTGATCCCGTTAGCCGGCCTGGGAAGAGGGAAGACACCGTGTCACCAAGGAGCAGCAAGAGGTCCCCACTGGAGCCCTGAGTGCCCCAAGGCACAGCTCCTGGGACCCTCTCTGGCCCATGATCACACACAGGGACTCCACCGACACGTGCCCCAGCACAGACCTGGTCCAGGTGATGTGTCTGCACCGAGCACCGTCCCCCACTTTGGAGACAGGGGCACCCGGCAAAGCTTGGGGGTTCTGCCGCAGGCACAGCATCCTCCAGCCACCACCAGCTCCGGCCCGCGGCTCAGCCCCCCATCCTGCACCGCCTGCCCCAGCTCCTGCCTCATTGCCCACGTATTTGTTATTAATTCTCCTTACGTTGCCAGGCCTGGCCCAGGCGGGCCGTGACTCACGGGGCTGCACCGCCGTGTCCTCTCCCACCGCTGGAATCTGCCGGTGCCTCTGCCCTCCCAGGCGGGCCGGGCAGGAGGAGCCCTGTGCCGATCATGCTGTGTCCACACACGGGGGAGGCCATGGCAGAGCAGAGGCTGTGAGTGGGCTGGGGGGGCTGCACGGCCCCTGCAGTGCCGAGGAGCTGACCCAGGGTGGCCACGACCACCAGTGCTCACCAGCCCCAGGCCCCTGTGCGGCTGATCTGGCCCTGGTTTGTGCCGTGCTGGAGGAACACACCCCACACTCCGCGGAGCCGCGGCCGAGCGGGGCCCCTGGGGCTGCCTTTGGCACCGACTCTCCCTAAATACTTCATTATCAGGAAAATAACAAGGTTCCCCCTCGCTGGGGGCTCTCAGGGGTGAACACAGCCCCTGGTTTTTGCAGCCTGGCCCAGTCCGTGCTCCTGCTCGGGGGCCAAACGTGTCCTGGTGCATGTACCCGTGGTGGGAGCCGGTGGGCCCCATCTCTCGGGGTGGATCCCTGGGGACACACACAGCCCCAGTTCCTCCTGCTCCGTGCACCCTTCTGGCAGCGGTGCAGGATGAGCCCATCACCCTGGAGGATCCACCAGGATGGGCAGATGCACTTCCCCAGCCCCGCGTCCCCGGGGCACAGCGGGGTCCCCACACCACTCACCCGCGGGTGTCCCTCGCCGAGGCCGGCGCGGCTGCAGGTCGGTGCTTGCTCCTGGCAGGAACGCATCTCCTGGTGCAAGAGACACCACATGAGTCATTCCCGGGCTCCTGGGAGCGAGGAGGAGATTCCCAGGGGGAAGGGATGAGTCTCGAGGCAGATCCCCACGTGTCCCATAAGCTGCACTGATCTCCCGAGGCGAAGGGCGGCCCCGCAGTGTGGAGCTGTGCAGGGAAGGGCTCTCTGCTCTCAGGTGCTGGAGGGATGTTGGGGTGCCCACTACAACCTGGGGTCCCTCCATCCCTTCCCTGCACCCACCTGCCCTTGCTCCAACATGGCCAAAGCCCTGGGAGCTCCTGCCCACGGCACCAGGAGCTGCTCAGACAAACAACTCCCTTTGTAATCCTTTCTTTACTCAAACTTTGCACCATGGCAATATTTTAGGAGAGCCTTTATCCCTCCCCACCCTCTGACAACTGGGCAGGAGCTGATTATTTTACTGGGAATTAATAAGCTGCTTATCTATGCTCCCCTCGCCTGTAAGTTGGCACAAGTCTCTTCCCCATCACCCCTCCCTGATTCCAGAACCTGGAGCCCTCCCAGCTCAGAGAAGCCCCTGTTTGAGGTCTGGCCCCTGTCTGGCAGCTCTGGGGCACAGGGATGGGGCTCAGAGGGACGGGGGTCCAAGGAGCAGGTGTGGTTCCAGGGAGAAGGTGTGGGGTGCAGGAGTTCAGGTACTGCTGGAGTCATTTGAGAAGCAAACACATGTTTCATTTGCAATTCTGCTGGGGTTTAAAAAAAAAAAAAAAAAACAAAAAGAAAAAAAGCAGAGAAACAAATCTAAACAGCTGTAAAGTAAATTACCAGTGTTTGCGGATGGCTCCAGGGAAGAGTTCTGCAGTTTGAAATCAAACAAGCCCATTTTTATTTTTTTTTTAACGTGCCTGTGTAGTGGCTGTTCTGTGAAGGGAGTTCCCAGGGGCTGTGTCCCCACCATGGGCAGGCAGGGAGGGCTCAGAGCAGCCCCCACCTACCAGCACCCAGCAGTGGGTGGGGGACATTCTGCCTCAGGTGCCCCTAATTTTATGGGTGTCTGAAGTGGCTCTTGTGGCTTTCTGGGTTAAAATCCCTTCTTTTGGGGAGTTGCCAGGTGAGATGGGCATTTTCTGCTCCAGGTAGAGCCCCCTCCACCCCTCCACAGGTGAGTCCCCGGTGCTGGGGACACGGAGGTGTATTAATGGCAGCACTTTATCTTCCAGGAACAAGCCCTATTAGTACATTTTCACTACAACATGAAATATTAATAACACTTTGCATTTATATAGCGTCATTCATCCCGCAGTCACCAGCCAAGCTGCTGACATGAATCAAACAGCACAGCCAGCTCTGGAGGTGGCAGGTAAATGGGATCAGACCCATTTTCCTGCTGCACAGGGTTTCCTCCAGCTCACTTAAGGTCCTGAGGATGTTTTGGGGGACAAAGCCCGAACAAACAAGCCCAGGGGCTGCTCCCAAGAGGCGCTGGCTGTGCTGGGCTTCCTCCAGCTGCTGCAACTGGAATTTGCTGTCCCTGATACTGTGCTGACGGTGCAGGGAGGGGAGTTAGGAAACCTGTCAGCCCACGGAGAGCCAGGCCCTGACACAACCCCAGGGCTCTGGCAGCATGAAAGAGCAGGAACCAGCGAGGAAAGAAAGGGCTGTTTGCATCCTATTAAAGAGCCTCGTGTTTAAACCCTCCTCCAGCTCCAGAGCACGCAATGATTGCAAAGGCTTTTACACACCAGCTCAGCAGGAATCGCTCCTGCTGCCGGAGATGCTGACCAGCAGGGTGGGACCCCACTGTTGATGCTGGATCAAGACACACAAACAGGTCCTGGGTGAAGTTCTGGAGCAGGGTGAGCGGCAGGGAAGGGCTGTTGGCACAGCCCCACCGCCCACTGCTCCCTGTCCCAAGTACCACGGTTATTCGGAGAAGAAGGCACCTTATTTGTTTGCAGATAATTAAAAAAAACCCCAAACAGATTAGTGAAAATCAAACACACGGAGCAGGCTGGATGTTGGCTCAGCCAGGAGAGCGGTGTGAGCATTCTTGGATGTTGGGTCAAACTGGCTCAGCCCTGGTACCCTCCTTCCCCAGCCCTGTGGCTCCCCACCGTGCTGCCAGCTGCATTCCCCATTCCACGGGATTGTTCAGAAGCTTTTCCAGGGAAATCCTGTGTTCAAGGCCTGCCTGGATGGGAGCAGGCAAACCCTGCCTGGCCCAGCCTGGACGTGGCCGTCTAGCACAGCCAGCACCCATTAATCTTGGATGTGAGGCTGCAGGGAGTAACCTCATTCCTGGGGAGACCTTAATTAATCACATGCTCAAACTGCCTCGATGAGGTGGTTTGGTGCTGAGCAGATAAATTCACAGGGTCAGCGGTGGCTGGGGATGGAGATGAGGTTATGAGGGACCTAAATCATGGCAGCAGGTGGTGGTGAGCAGAGCAAGGGCCAGGGCTGTAAAACCTTTCTCTGCACTGGGAGCAGATGAGGGGGGCACAGGGGGGAGATGCTGCCGTGGCACTTTGCCCCTGATAAGGCTGAAATAAGAGCGTCCCAGCCTGTGCAGACCATGCCCCTGCAATGGAGGCAAAGCAAGGATGTGGAGGACAAACTCCTAAGCTGGAGGGGACCCTGGGCAGCCACACAGTCCCAAAACTCAGGCAGGGAGGGGTCGGGGGACTTGGATGCTCTCCCAGTAGGAGCAGAGTCCAACCCAGCCCTCAGCCCTGCTGACTGCCGCTGATGGGCCACTTAACGCCTGTTTTGGGTTGTTTGGCCAAATAATCACCCTGCAAATGACATCTTTGCCCTTCCCACTGACCTTGGCAGCATCCGAATGGGCGACCCGCAGGTCAGAGTCTTTATATCCCATTACCAGTCTCCTGAGTCACGCCTGTCCCCCGGCGAGTTACATTATTTTGAGATGGCAGCTAAATGGGAAAGAGGTCACGCTCCCAATACGGCGACAATAGGACATGACAGCGCTTTTCTGAGTGATTAAGCCTCAGGTGATGCCGGGGCTACAAGACAAGTGGCTGAAGGCTGAAAGACTTTAATCACCCCGGAGGTGGCACTGCATCCTCACACTCCATCCTGCCAGGGTGGGCTTTCAGTGCGAAACGGGAGCGATAATAAAAACAATCCAGCCCAGCCTGCGCGTCCACTGGGTAGTTATCCGTGCTGCTGTTAATAATCAGCCCGAGCAGCCTGTTGGCCCTCAAAGAGCCTTCTGCAATAAATCAGCTCCGATGCCTTAAAATAACTGTCCGGGGCCGCCGGAGCAGACACTAGATGGCATTGGGGGAACGCGCTGTGAGGCACAGCCGCCTTCCCCGGATCTGCCTGGCAAAACAGACCAGAAAACTCAGGATGACGGAGCAGAAAATCTCAGCCGCGGAGAGGCCACCAGCTCACCTCCATTCCCAAACCCACCAGCTCACCTCCATCCCCAAACCCACCAGCTCACCTCCATCCCCAAACCCACCAGCTCACCTCCATCCTCACACCCACCTTCATCCCCACAACCATCAGTTCACCTCTAGCCTCTCCCTTGACTTGTGACTGGTGGTGGGGCAGAGTTCAGGGAGCTTCACCTCTAATCTAGTGAAATAGTTTATCCCCAAATTATTGGGGTTTTTTTCCCAACAAGGAGCTGGGGCCTGGGTGGAGCTGCCCTGGTGGCTCCCCAGAGCCTGGCTGTCCCTGCCTGCACCAGCACGGCCTTGCAGGGCTTGGTGGGTCCTCCAGGGTGCACCTGGGCACCTGCTCAAGGGATGGTGAGGAGAAGAGGGGCTTTAAAGTGAGTTCAGAGCCAAATGCTGCCACTGCCCTGTCCATCCCCATGCCAACTTCCCTTCACATGGGAAGCAAGGTTTTCCTCCTGCAGTCTGGGCATGTGCTTCCCACGCCTTGCTCAACCCCTCCATCCAGATTAGCCTGTTTGTCCATCTGTCCATCCACCCCCCTGCATTTTGCCCATGCCAGGGTGCATCTGTCCCCCGGGGGCTGGTGCAGACTGGGAACAGCCCTGGGGACACCTCAGTGGAGCAGCAGAGCAGCCTCACCCTCCCAGCCCCACCACCCAGCTGGGAGCCAGGAGCTCTTTCCAGGCAATGGGATCCGTTGGGCTCTTTCCCATCACTCCAACTTCATTCCACCCATCACAGCCAGTCTCTCCTTCCCCCAGATCACCTCCTGCACCCCACTGAGCTGAGCTGGCTTTGTCTCTTAATGCTGTGTTGTGCCTGCAGCCCGAGAGACACAAAACCAGCTCCAGACTGCAGCTCCCTCCCTCCCAGCACCGCTGGCAGCACATGGCACTGCCACAGCCACAGCCCACCTGCTCCTCCCCTCCCAGGGGGGCCCCAGAATCCTCCAGCCCTCTGGA